TGAAAAGCGCCCTGAGTATGAAAGCAACAGCTGTCCAATGAGGTGTTCAATGAATGTTTACAGATTTTGATAAGAATAGCACTGTCCGTGTGACAGTTTGTTGATTACAGAAATGTCTAACAAAACGCAGCGTGTGGTAAGCCATTATCGTGACCTGATCACCAGTATAGTATGCTGCAAACACTATTCCAATCAGACAACTTCACAGTGGGGCCAGTTTTGTTATACTTCATGCCTTAAGCCCGATAGTAATCACGTCATAAGCATAAACATCTTTCAAACTGTATTTACTGCGTCAGCTAAATGTAAATTATATTGGCAGTAAGCAGCAGGTAGACAATGCATTCACTGGATATTCAGGATCAAAATATAGAATGTGCAGACTCACATGACAATATCTCATTTGTCGGAATATACAAAACCGTTGAAATTAAATACAGATTCACTAGGGAAAAGAATCTAGCTAAGCCTTTTGTATTCTTATCACGTGAAAAGATAGTTGGTAATACTGAAATCGCTCAGTGAATACTCGTGCAATAAAAATCAACTAAAATAGTTCTTAGAATTTAGGGTTGAAATGCATGAAAGGCAAAAAAATTAATAAAAAAGGAATTAATATTAGGTGGCGTAAGAAAGATCCTATTAAAAAAACGAAAATGATGATATTAGAGGCTTTAAAGTTATATTGTTTGAAATTCATTAAAGAAAACAGTATTATTGGCAAGCTGAAGAAAGGGCTTTAGGAAACCTTTTGAGACAAGGGTCTTTTAACACTATAATTGGCACTGAAGCCAAATATAAGTGGTGAAGTGTAGACTTAATGAATGCTTGAATTCAGCCATGTTTGTAACTCTGAAAGATAACTGATGGGTAGGTAAATGACGTGATTTCAACAGATGTTTGAAAATACAAAACGCTAACACCTTATAGTTAGCTTCTATCGTCCAAACTAGATAATGGTCTGCTACACGTTTCCAGAGAACCGATATTTAACATCAAATGTAGTTAACTCCACTGTAGTTTGCAAAATACTAGACAAGTGATGTCAACTTAAGAAATTCAACAGTTGAATGGTTTTCATTGCAGATTATAGAGGTATCATCCACACGTATTTAGTACAAATAGAAATCGGAGATCATTTCTTTCAGCTGGACATTCTTTAGAGTTGCCATGATCACATTAGCTAGGATAGATTCTAATAGAGCCCCTATAACAACTCATTTGGAACCCATTATTTCAGCAACCAAAAACAGTAAATCGATGTTAATTTTGGAGGGTGGTTTTTAGCGCATTTCTGTGTGGTTACCAATCATCTTGGTTCGTAAGACATTTTGTCAAGTACATATTTGATATGAAAACAAAACAACAGATGCTTGGAGAAATCATTTTTGGAAAATTACTTTGATGTTTTACCTTTGTTATTCTAAAATTGAAGTAAACAATTATGACATGGTAAACATTAAATACATCACTTGTCTGTGCAAGCATTTTTCAACGTTTAAGATCCATTGGCTAAATTAGTCACAAATATGCTGAAGTGGACATCATGTAAGGTTTATTGAGTATGTATCCTGTGGTTAACAATGATATATATCTAAATATTTCAGGCTTTTATCTTATGTAGAAGATATAGAAAAGCCCACTGTACATAAAGTAAAGCTAGGGTCTTTGTCACTTCACGTATGACTGTGTATAGAAACCACACTGCAAAAATACTTGTCTGCTTAAGTTTTCCTACTGTCTTTAAAAGACGAATATAACATGACATTACACAGATTACAAAGTGAAACGGTGTAATTTGCTATGTAACGTCATTCACACTGAATGGATAGATTATATCTGTAAGTTGTGAAATATATTTTTCAGTTAATTGTTTCCTAAAAGTATTTCGTGTATAGTTTATGCAACAGTTGATGAAATGACTTTTCCTCAAATTGTTGTTCTGGTAGCACACACGATTACATAAGCTGTTGAGTGCCACAATCTGGTACTAAGCTTGTGAGATAGTTACATGATTATTAATGCAGCTAAATTAACGAGTTTTCGAATAAAGAATATTATTCTTGATAACTCCATCTCAATCCATATAAGGTGAATAAATAATTTATATGTATTAACTATATAAACGTTTCTTTTACCAAAGACTCAATAAATCAAATATTGGGTAAACAACTTGACTTGGGATTAACAATATCTAAATTCAAATGCTGTCAGAATTTAATTTATGTGATAGAGTGTTTAGTGTTTTTGTATTCAAAAGGGATCACTACTAAAACGTTTTTTAGGGTTAATGAGAATGGAGAATTCTCAATTCGTACCTTGATGGGATAGTTTATACCCACTGCCATAGAAACGTAAGCTATGACAAAACAGCTGTCGGGTGCCTTTTGTTTTAAATGGTCCTCTGACTGATATGACTACATGAAGAAATTCAGGATGCGCATTTCGTGGATTCCACTGCTAGTCACCATCCACCAATTAAATTCTAATAACATGCCCAGACATCGTCGAAGCATCTGCACAAGAAGCCATGTCAACCTGAGACCGAGCACTTTGGTCCAATCAATCGACGGGAAAATCTAAATAAATTAAATTATCTAACAATTGTTTACAAGTAAGCATGTGTGAAATTATCAGTTTTTCTCTCTACATGCTTATTTTACACCTCTGAGGTATTATCTGATTCCACATGTATATTAAATGCCCAAAAGTGTAGGTATACTGCCCGGTCCACGCATTTTACTTAAAATAATTCTTTAGTACTGTCTTGTTTATTTCTCTTGAAATAAGAATATCCAAAAAGACTATCATACTCCCGAATTTTCATCACATATAGACTACTTAGTTGGGTGAGCGTTATTGCATCTATTATGGATTTCAACCCTGTCTATTTCTTTCTCACAAAGAATGTATGTAACATTTTATATACTCTAAATATCCTGAATAAATGGCCAAATGGACCACCTTCTAGTTTGGCCAGAAATACATCTACTCAAATGTAACACTGAACAGCCTATCGGGAAGCCATTCACCTGTCTCCAGAGTTCATCAATTATTCTGAACTGAATACTTTAGCACTAAGCCTTTAATGGATATCCAAAGGAGTCCCAATATATGTATATTTCTCTACTACCAGTTCATATCAACAACTAACTTCTACAAACAATGAAACATTCTTGAAAAGAGGAGTTGTATTGAAGTATAGCATCATTTTATCTAAAACATCAACATTTTTGACTTTGTCTGTAAATACACGCACAACTTTCATACTATTGCACAACTTGTATGAATAAAGATTCCAGAATAACAGCCGCCTACTTTTCAGATCTCAGTAAACAGAATTACAGATGCCGAAGATAAACATTAATGTTACTTCTGGCTTTATATATTCTGTTAGGTGCATAGGAAAATAACTTGTGTTAAAAACAGATTTAATGTAAAGTGTTTTTCTTTATTTCCTTGAAAAACAGCACTTTCTTTCGTTTCTATTTCAGTCTGATTTTAACATGATATACACGTAATCTACTTTAGGACATACTTTTATTTTCAAAAGTGAGGTATAACATTTCATGTTATTTCATTCTAAACGCTTTAGTACTGTCCTTTGAGAAAAACCTGTGATGGAAGTTGTTGCAATATTCTAAAGCGATGCTCTAATTTTAAAACACCAAATGAAATTTATTGAAAACGATTAAATATGTAATGGTCGGTTTAATTTACAGTTAGTCAGCAACACTTCACCTTGAGTTAGAAGTTTGATTTGTCTGAGGAAATGAATACTGCTAGCACGTTACATGAATTATTAGTGACACTAGTTTATGCCACTAAAAATTTATTTTTTATTAATAATCAAGAAGAATATTCATCATTAGTTGTATCATTTATTTAACAGAACAAGATATACCTAAAGGTTTACTTTGATGACCGTGCTACCAAATCTTCCATCTATCCAATTACATAATCTATACTCACATCTATTTTCGAACAGGTTTAAACCTGGTTGCATGGATTTTCCAATGGAAAAGGAGAAAAGGCATAACAAGTTATTACAGAAAGCTTCGGATAAAACAATATTTCTTCAGATGTCATATTGCCGATTATTTATTTATTTATTTAGAGATTCTACACAAGGAGTAAATACTATGCAGTACGATATGCCGAGAATGCTGCAATATGTAATAATGCACTTTCGATAACGAAGCCGTTTTTGTCATTATTACTATTACCAATTAATTAACCTCAATAAGCACAGTAGATAGTTAATATATAACACCAAATTATCATAAGCAGAAGCAAATACAAAATGGCTTTTACTTACAAATAATACATATATGTAGCTTGGTAACGCTTATTAGCGTAAATTAAAGCATAGATAAGGTAGAATCTTTCATACTGTTCATAAAGTATTTTGAAACATTTCTGTGGAATTAAAATTGAACCCTATGTCCACCGAATAGTGCGTCAGTGGCACGGTGGTAGAATGCTCACAGACCACGCATGTGGTCCGGGTTTCGATCCCTGACCAACGCACTCCTTTAATTTTCTAAGCTAGCAATAAGACTGGTAAAGACGGAAGACTGGGTATGAGGCTAGCAACCTTATCCCTCAAAAATAAACAACACTGCCATCGAAACCTGAAGCCTCTAGCTTGAAGCCCTCTATTCCACTGGGACGAAAAGAATACAAATTTTTTTAAATCTCCACCAAAACAAGACACAGTATTATTATTAATATTACTGACACAAAACATACCAGCGAGTAAACTTTACATAACATTTGCATTTTAATACTACCTATTTGCAACATAATTTATAAAAGTTGTTTAAATAAGCTTTCTACTCATGGCTAGTTGGTGTACTCCACAATGTCTATGATTTATATTCCTTGAGCAGACTAGTTTTGAAACGACACCTGAGGGGTAATAAACCTTATCATTTCGGTACAATACACCATAAAAGTCACTACATCCCAAAAACTTAACAGAATAAACCAAAACTTACATTTTATTTTTTATATCCCATATAATTATATGATCTTGAAACATTGAATAGTTCATTTTCAAACAAAAAAGTAATATAAATTTCCAAAATAAATCTTTTATCATTTAGACAACAACTAACATTAGTATGAGTTAAAGAGATATTCAAAGCATTTTTTAATATGCGTGTGCAGACAATGGCTGTTATTGTTATTATTATTGTTAATATCAACTGCGTTCACTGGTACATAATTCCGATGATCACTTATGTGCATTGAAAAGTAATAATTTGCCTACTTGAATATTTTTATTGTTATGATTTTCAAATTATGTAATCCACAATTTTTATTAATTATGTGAAAAAAATGTCAAGTAAATAGTTGTACACATAACGTGCTGAAACTGAAATTACCTATCTAACAAAAATTTATTATATATATATATATATATATATGTAGCATTGGTTCCTGAATCATGAATACTGAAATTTCACTTTACGAGATTTTTCAGTTTTAACCAACCAGAACACAAGCTACTGTATGAAAAAATATTCCAGTTGTGATTGGTTCTAGCCGAAACTACGGTAATATGCATGCATATAACAAGCCAATATATACTACATATATATCCTTCTTACGGTTTTATGTTGTTATTATTCATTATCAAGTATACATTATGGAAAGGCAATAAGTATGGAATTATAACTTGGTTTAAGAAAATTAAATGTTATGAAAATAGACTATTTTAATTTAGGTGATTACATTTCGCTTTTATATATATATTGGCATGACGGTATTTCATGACACTCACCTGTCAGTAATCTTCAGTAAGTATGCTGTATTACGTGCATCGATTAACACTGAGAAGGTTCCAGAAGGTTAAGTAAGATCCAGCCGTTAGAATGTTGCTTAGATATGCTTCACAGTTATCAGCTTTTGGACATTTGTATGTAAATATCAGAGCCACATAGCACCCATCATACTACAAATTTTTCGATACCCGAAGTCGATATTGGATGGTTATTTTACATCGCAGTTCTGATTACATGTTAAAAAAGAGATAAGATTTGTTCGACTGAGTAAAAAAGGAATTTCAACGAACTATTACTTGGTTGACTGTTTAGCAGCCAGTTTGATTCACTGGGCTGCGTAACACAATGTATCATATTTTCTTTAATTCTTATTGTCTTAATCATTCACCTATGTTCTTGAGTCACAAAATGTACTCATGAACATTTCCAGCTGGCTTTCAAACTACCGATATGCATTTTGCGGAGACCAAGGAAGAATATCATAAGGGATTAGTCTATGCTTCAGATCTAACAGCATGTCGTCACGTGAAATATCACAGACTGTTACTTTACTTGAAGATCCTGGATGGGGAGAAAATACTATACCATAAATTACACTGGAAATTCTCAACACTGTGTTAACATTTTATTCATTTCTTCACTTAACACATTCTGGGGAATTTTATGGAGTCATCATGAGAATCCTCGAACCAGTAGCAAAAGTCTTGCTTAAACTTTATAACTAATTTCATGAAGAAAATTTAAGTTGTATTTCTCAAGAATATTTAGGCAGGAATATTATTCAGGCTAATTGTAGATGGCCTGCTGCTACATTAGAATAAAGGTGTACAAATTCTAGATCACTTATAAACTTGTATAACTGAATATTTCAACAGTATGACTTACAGCTATGAGACCGAATGACTTTAATATACATATATATACAGTCTATTGTAGTGGTTTGTAACATGTACAGATTTCCATGATAGAAAATATTCCACAAAATCTGTGCTTTTGGAAGTTAAATATTTGCCCAGTAACAACTAAATTAAAGAAATAATAAAATAAATCTCTTTTTCACTACAACAATCTTAATGAACAGTTTGAGTAAACCTCATGTGAAAATATATTCAGTAGCACAAATAATTAACTCCAAATACAGACAAGGGATCTAATAGTTTTCTTTTCTATTGTTCAGTTTTAATTGGACTGAGTCGTCACCTGTAAAATACTCGACTGAAGGATACACATACAACAGAAAGCAAATGCTGCGTATTTCTTTGTTCACTAAATGTCTCTTACATATCTCTTAAAAATGCATGAGTGCTTTATAAGTATTTATAAATCGTGAACTCCTTACAACTTTACATACCGACTAAAGTTAATGAGAACGTTTATTAGAAATATATACCTCTGCATTTGTCTGAAGCAGTCATCTTTTTAAAGGTTAGAACGATGTGCTGAAAGCTTAACAAATAAGCACTTTCGAGGTTCTTATATTGAATGAAGTGATAGTATTTTGTACTAAGGTGGATATTGACTTCATGTCACAGTACAGACAGAAATTATTATTTAATTCATGAGGATTTATTACATATTATACGTCTGCTATCTGGTGCTTTTTATAATGAGTAGTAAACCTAGTTAAAATAGCAGAATAAACCATAATTTACCTATAATCTAAAGGTCCACATAAAATCATCCTATGAACTGGTCATTTACGAAGTTTGGTTACGTAAAAGTATTTGTGATAAAATTTTTTAAGCATTTCATTTATGGAGTACTGTGTTACCTTATGTTTGTATATATCTTAAACTTGCATGAGGTTAAATCCAAATTCTGTGAAAGTAAATCTATTTTTCTACAGAGGCAACTTTAGGAATGTTGAGTATAACATATCTTTGCACACACCAATTATGCGAACTGCAAACGAAGTAAAGGAATCTAATATTTATGATTTGTGTTGGACCGTTTAATTTGATCATAAGTGACTCGTTATGGTCTAAACGCAGGAAACCGATCTCTGCGTTCTACTGTATAGCTGTCCAAAACTTTCTTGAGACACGAGCAGTCACAAAAGCTCCAAATACAGGAAAAAGAATCCCAAAACAACACTTCCCGTGGACGGTCCCAGGTCGTTCGCTCAAACAAAATTACATCGTAAAACAACACATTATCAATGTATTTTACAACCACAAAGAGAAGCATTAGAACTAGAGATTAAACAGAGACAAATACAAACAATAAGGATCAAATCAACATACGATATACAAATGTCAAAATAATGATACACAGTCTAGGAGGAAAAGCGGATAATAATTACAGTTAGTTTAGACATGCGAATAATTGGAAACATTGTGACTGGATTGTTCAGGAGGGATTTTCAAAACAATCTCTCTCTTAGGTTGCTGTCAGTGCGAGTTAAGCAATAATCGTATTTCTTAATGGGAAAAAGGATTTGACTATAGATAAGACCACCCAAATGTTGCCACTGTAAACAGTAGAAAAAAATGTTAATGACAATAATTATTCTAAATAAGTATATATCTATTACTGTTTCACACCAAATTATTGACTGCACTAGTCATACTTAGTGAGATATATGGTTACCATAGCATCTAGGATATGATATTCACACGTTTTGTTATATGAAAAAATGGTATTTCTTTTAGGTTTAAAATTAGAAACTAATTAAAATGCACCTTCCAAGATTTTGACAAGTCAAGAAACTTATATTCTAGCGCTCTCTACTGATTTCAAAAAGACAACATAATTAAAATTAACATACACCCTAGCTCGGATCTTCGAATACTTCGATCTTTTTCCAATTGAATGGCTTTTCAGTTAAAACAGTTTATCTGCTGATATTAAGGATTCAGTTTGCGAAGAATTTCATCTGTTGGCATAACGATTTGTTATCACCAATTTATTATCTTTATTTTGACAATCAGGCGAGTCTAGATGTCTGGAAATGTAGGAAAGAAATAGGATGTTATCAAAACAAATTCTTTTAGTTTCAGTATCGACTCTCTTTTGTGTTATAAAATGTTCGATTAATTGTAGTCGTTTTGGCATGCATCAGAATTTGTAAAATACTGATTATGGCATTGGATGAGAAGGAAAAGGGGAAATAACTGATAACAGGTGATTTGTCTACTTTTAGAATAAAATACACTAAACCGAACAGACTATTTATATCTCAAAAGTAAAAAAACCCACGTTTTCGTGAATAGAATAGAATTTCTGTGACATATTTTATCAAATTTTCCCATGAATGCTATAGATACTAATGATAAAACACAGATGTTTTATGTTATATATTGTAATTTCTCATGTGATGCTTTTATTGTCTCTCGCTCTTCTCTGGTCGTGAACTTACAACTTACTAGCGCTCTTACGGCTAAATAACAGTAATTTTGATTATAGCGACAAAAACCATGAACTAAAAATACATATCCTTTGTTATTGAGATTAAACTTGTGACGGTAAACCTCTGCATTACAATAAAATAAGCATTTTTGATTAGGTTATAACCTGCTTATGTGTAGTAATTAATGTAACATAGAAATATGGTAACGTTAATTAAAATGGTGCCAGAATTTTGTCAATCTGCTTAAATATGGTGACCACCTAGTTTTCTATAGAGAAAAATGCATCAAATCTACTCATTCACATTTTGTCTTAACCATCTTTATGCAGCCTTGAAGAACAATCTGTACTAACATGCGTTTTTGAAAGGCTTTTGGCATACCACTTGGTTTGTGCTGAAGGCACATATATGTTGTCTGTTGGATATGTTTCAGTGGTTACATACTTTAGATTACTATTTCACCTGAAGATTCTGTGTAAGGAGCAGATTAAAATAAGGTGAAAATCCTGTACTTTATATAAACACGTTGTTTAGAATAAAGCTGTTATTATCATGCCCTGAAACGCCTGCCATATTCTTTGCTTGTTAATTCATGTATACTAAAATTAGTATGTATATATTTGTGTATGCGTACATTTTTACAGTGTTTGCATTACAGGTAAAAAACAGAACTTCAAACTTTTAGGCCATAGCATAGCTTTTAAGGGGTGTGACTGCCAGCCTCAAACCTAAACTTATCCTTTTTTCAGGCCTACGACTAAGTAGGCGAGTTTTAGGAGAGAGTCGTTTGGTAGTCAAACCCATACCTTTCGCGCGTCTAGAAAGCATTTTATCATGACACAGCTCACACATTTTGTTATATTCTGTTATATTTCATTCCAGCTTACTGTCGATTTCTTTCCCTTTCTTTTCGAAATTCAAAACACCACAGTTAAGTCAATGCATATTTTTACATATTACTAAAGCATCATTGACACTGGTGAAATGACAATCTGTTAATTAATGTTGAAATTTTCAGTGCTCACCGAATTCGTCTTCACATACACTTGTATGATAATTCGATTTTCGGACTGCTTTAAACTCTCTTACTGTTTATGACTTTAATATTTCTTCAGGATAATGTATTAACGAGGTGGTGAATAACTGTACCCAAAAACCAACAATCGACATTCACATACGTTGCTGATTATATCATTAATGCAGGCCAACCAATTTAAATAACAACAATTGTAAGGATGTTTAAAAGTAAAAGGATA